GGGGGGGGGGGGGGGGAATTCTGGGAGTTGAAGTCCATACATCTTAAAATTGCCAAGTTTGAGAAACACTGGTTTAAACCAAAGCCCTTAATGTGTTGCAAATACCATAGATGATTATGAACTTCCAGCTGTGGTGTGTATTTCTACCCCTACCTCATCACTTTGACGGTTTGGAGCTATACAGTTTAACGCAGAATGCTTTGTACAATCTGGGGATCTGTAATGTCCTAAGTTACTAAATCAGTTCAGTCTCTGGAAAACAGTCTTTCCTAGAGTGCAACTGCAGACTTCCCATCGTCCCCCATCTTCCTGATGAGTCGATTGCACTTCTCACAGTTATGAGATCTCTAACCTCATCCAACTCATTTGGAGGACGGGATTGAGAACGCTTGATCCAGTGTTATACAAGTCATGGTTTTGCCACTGTTGCAACTTTGCTGTAAAATGCATAAAATCAGGGTTGGGGATTGACACATTTGCAGACCTGTGGTTTGGAGCCACGAGGCCCTAGGTTCTCCCTGAACTGAATATTTTAACATTCTTTTAATGTATTTAAACAGTAGGAATTTGGCGTGCTCAACAGCAAAGAATGAAGCTTGGCATCCTTGTCATTTCCTAGGATGTCTCTAGCCTCCTATAAGTCCCACAGGCATTTTAAATGAAGTAAAGTAGCGAGTGGTTGCTGTGCTGGGTCTGGTTTGGAAATGCACCCACCCATGCAGGAAAGTTGAAAACAGCCCGTGGGGTTAGAGATGAGAGATAGGGAGCAACCCAACACGATACCTACACCTTAGACAGGTGGGATATAAATAATTAAAAATAAACTTGTCATACTGCCTTCTGATAAATGGCTACCTTGTCATTGGCCATTGCCACCAGCGTAGCCATTTTGTGGGTGCACCCCTGCAGTGTTCTCTGAATTCTGCGCCCGATGCAGAAAGGAATGTTGAAGATACGGAATATTATAGATGCCACTCTCAGTCCTGTCATAGCGCTCTTAAAGAATGTATCGCCATTTCCGTAAAACTTGGCAATGTCACTTTTGAACCTTGAAACACGTTCCTATGATCGAAGAAACTTAACACGAGAGAATTGGATAAACATTTTATTGTTCTTTGAAGTAACAAAAGAATCTCCAACTAGATCTCTGTTCTTCTCCTGCTGCTCTGTATTAGAAAGGCTACACTGGTGATCACTGCTGAACATGAGGGCAGGTGTGTGCTACTCTTTGGTTTTAAAAAAAATACCCCAGCTGTCCAAAAGCAAGTTATAGAAAAGGTATTCTTCACTAGTTGAGGCTGTACAATTCGTGAGGTCATTGACAATGCCATCTTCGGAAAAAAATGGGATTTATCACTGTGGCTAAAGCGTTCAAGCTGTGCAATGCTTCAGATTTGATTCCAAAAAGGTGCTTCGGAGCATATGGTTATATGCTGATAGCACTTGTCTGCAACTCTTAAAGCAGCCTTGTCTTTTCCACTGCTGCTCGGCCCTGGGAAAGACGCAGCTGCTTTAAAGAGTTGCAGAGAGGCACACTGTCCACCCTCCCAGACATCTTTGTGGACTTGAATCCAAAGCTACGCACCGTCCTGATGGCTATGTGCCTGGCAGCAGTTCAGGATGTGTTAACTAATACAGTACTAGTAAGTTGGATGTGCTAGATTCACACCTTATGCTAAATAAGTGATTGCATTCACACAATTGGGGTGTGGTTTGGTAAATGAATACAATCTTTCGGATTTGCACAACCAACTGAATTGTGAATTAAGCCATTTTCTGGGTTTGTACCATGTGTTAGGATAATAACGTGGCTGGCCAGTTTGGTTGGTCCAGGGTGTCACTGCCAACCTAGTCACGCTATGGGTTTCCTTTGTTCTGGCTTAAGGTGATTCAGATACCCAGCTGCTGTGGTTTAGTCAGTAAACCATGGTTTTAGACAATCCTGTATGAGGTATGGATCTGGTCAGATGATGAGCTCGTGTGGAATGAACAGAAGGCAAGAGAAAGATACCCGAGGGCCAATGGATTTGGAGCTATAATGATGCTATCTTGAAGGCACAGATATGGAAGCAGCGTGCTAATTCACTATTAGATGGCCTGCTTTTTTTAGGCTCCCCCCAGGGATAACCACCCACTTTAGGAAACTGGTTGTTGGCCCATTTCCTGCGTCTCATTTTCAGGGATTATGGCAACTTGGGCCTCTTCGGGGCTATCATATTCACCGCCCTCATTCGCCTCCTTGTTTGGTGGGACTGCAGCCACAGGAACACTAGTCTGGCTGGGCACCGCAGCGTATTCCGCCTTTGCAGGCATAGTCCTGCAGAACACAAAAGTTTAGGCAGACATGCGTTTTTCCTGGACCCAGCACGTTGCAGAAGAAGCACGTTCCAACCCCTTCTGTGAAACAGCTCAGTAGGTTGGTCTTTCCCAGCTGAAGTGTCTTAGATTTCAGCTCCCTTAAGGCCTGGATATCTGGCACAATGCTGTTGTGGGAGTTGAAGTCCAGTGCAGAAGGAGGTACCAGGTTGGAGAAGATCGCAGTGACCCTTTAGATCAGTGTTTCTCAGCCTTAGCAACTTTAAGATATGTGGACTTCAACTCTCAGAATTCCCC